TTATAATGGGGACACACGTAAATTAAAGAAAATAAATATATCACCGATATTTAAAAAAAAATATATATATATATATGTTAATCTAACAGCCCTAAAGTGCAGGCGGTTTGAACTTGTTTCTAGTTGCATCGGGTTGTTCGTGGTGACCTGTTGACCTTGACGACCAGCATCAACAAGGCCTTCTGACTCATAAATATGGCCCATGAAATGGACTCATTTGGCGGCCCATTGAGGTTGCGGATCGTAGTGAGAGTGCTAGTGCAGCCAATAACTGGTGCCTACAATACAACATTGAACTCTTTCATCTACCAAATAATCTGTTTTTGTAATCCTCATTTAGTCTTTCTACAATACTAATGCGTCTGGTTGGTTTTGACGTACAGTAATCCTTTTACTTCAGGCTAACAAAGGGTCCTGTTATAAAACACAAACCCAGCAGACCTCTGGGGTTGAGGCCTGGCATGCTGGAGGCTGTCCAGGCGACTATTGTGTGCAAGCTCACCACGGATTGATTTTAGATATCCACACAGGGAAAGCGTTCCACCGTTTTTAATCCTGTCACGTACTCTCCAACGTGCTGCGTCATGCTGATGATGTAAAACCCTGCAAGCGTGAGCACTCTCACACGCTCACCCAAACAGGAAACGTGAAGTAGTGTGTGTGTGACTCAGAAGGCGATGGGAATGCTGCGCAGAGGCGGCCTGCAGTACTACTTTCCCAGGAAGGGGTTGCCATGGCGACCCAGAGTCCTGCTTTGGAAACGAGGATTTCCACATACCATTTATGGAAGTGAACACGAGAGCTGGGGATGATTAACCAACTGGAGCTCAGGGGGTATGTTTGAGGAAAATGAGAAGAGCACCGTTCATGTTTTGTGACTGAGCTGAAAAGGGAATACCTCAGTTTGCCTCCGTGGTTTCCTGTCGGAGAAAGCAGCCATGTCAAGTACGTCCTTGTGTGGGCCTATTAATAGCAACACGTCTCCCTGTCGGTAGGACATCACTACGTTACTGCCGCTCTGATTCACCGCCCACTGACCCGCCTCTCCCTATAAAAATAAATGTTATACTCCTGTTAAACTTCTTCCCTTCTCTTTTGCTCTCTCCCGCAGATGTCTACCAAGGAGAAGCTGATCAGCCACGTGATGAAGGAGGAGCCCGTCGGCAGCGCAAACAAAGTGACGGTGGTGGGTGTCGGCATGGTCGGCATGGCCTGTGCCATCAGCGTGCTGCTCAAGGTGAGTGAACGAGCTGAGGGATGTGTGTGAATGTGCAGCCATTACAGTATCGAGGTGTAAGGAGGTTTGAATAAACTCTTAAATGATGAATGGAGTAATACAAATTGAGAAGAAAAAATAAAAGGTCTCTGAATTTAGAAAGACTTATGCTGCCTTGTGGAATCCGGCTCTGCAATGCTGTTTTACAAGTAATTCTGTGCGCAAATTCAGGACTTGTGTGACGAGCTGGCCCTTGTTGACGTGATGGAGGACAAGTTGAAAGGCGAGATCATGGACCTGCAGCACGGATCCCTTTTCCTCAAGACGCACAAGATCGTAGCAGACAAAGGTGAGAATGTGCAACCTGGAAGAGCTTGGTTTTTCTTCTTTTTTTTTTTTCACATCCCGGAGCGCCATGACAACGTCTGTCCTTCTGTCAATGTGTCAGACTACAGTGTGACGGCCAACTCCAAAGTGGTGGTGGTGACGGCCGGCGCCCGCCAACAGGAGGGCGAGAGCCGCCTCAACCTGGTGCAGCGCAACGTCAACATCTTCAAGTTCATCATCCCCAACATCGTCAAGCACAGCCCCAACTGCATCATCCTGGTGGTCTCCAACCCAGGTTGGAAGGAAATGTGGTGAGGAGGTGCGGCTTCAAACGGTCGCAGATTGTTGGTGCTCATCATTTTCTTGACCCTCCAGTGGACATCCTGACGTACGTGGCGTGGAAGCTGAGCGGCTTCCCCCGTCACCGCGTCATCGGCTCTGGCACCAACCTGGACTCTGCCCGCTTCCGCCACCTGATGGGAGAGAAGCTCAACATCCACCCTTCCAGCTGCCACGGCTGGATCATCGGCGAGCACGGGGACTCCAGTGGTACGTAGTCTCTGACTACAGACCAAACCGCACATCAACCTGAACTACGTGTTTTATTCCCCCGCGTTTAGAGTTGGGGGGGGGGGTCACGACAATTCTTTTTTTCATCCATTTATGTGTCTGCTGTCTCTCTCACAGTGCCCGTGTGGAGCGGCGTGAATGTCGCCGGAGTTTCTCTGCAGGGCCTCAACCCGCAGATGGGGGCCGAGGGCGACAGTGAGAACTGGAAGGCCGTGCATAAGGAGGTGGTCGACGGGTGAGTGAAACACCAAAAACCCTCCCTCTCTTCCTCCAGCCCACTCTGCAAACCACGTTCTTTCCTTGATTCTCGTCATGCATGCGTCTGTCAAACACAGAAACGGGTGGAAACTTGTTTCGGGGACCGTTGACTACTTTTGGCCACACCCCCAAAAATTCCAAAAGCACAATTGCAATGCCTGGTGAGCGATTTGCACCGGGCTTTGGGCCAAATGGCCAGCGGCCGGTGCCGCGCTCTTAGCGCCTGGCTTCAAACACAATGGCTGTGCGCTGTCACGTGATACTGTGGCGCTGTGCCCGTGGGCTCACCTTTTGCACCCACGTCTGCATTCATGAAGCGGCGGGCAACATAAATCGCTTTTGAAAGGCGCGTTCACCGTAAACTGACGACTTTATCCATGCAACCCAATAAACGTTGCTACACTTGTTGAACTTTGCTATCGTACCAATATTTTCCCATCCGGCGACCCGACTTATCTTGCAGAGATAGTCAGCTGTGTACGACACAAAGGAGGGCTTATCAAAGATCTCTGCAAAATAACTTGTGTGTACAATAAAAGATGGCGGGACAAAGGCGATGGGTGAATGGACGTCTAAACAGAACCAAGATCAGCAAAGGGGCCTGATACCACATCTTCATGGCCACTAGAGAAGCCTTGGTTCACATGGTGGCTTTTTTTATTCAATTAATGTTTGACGTTATTAAGTGTATGGGGGGGGGGGAGAAAAGAAGACCTTGATGTTCGTCCTCTTCATTTCAAACGCATATAGGAAATTGCACTGACAAAGTCAAACCGCGCAGCCATTTGAATGTTTTGGTGTTCAGCCATCGAAGACACAGGTTCATTATTAATCACCCTGCACAGATCGAGAACAGCACAGCAAAGATGGGGGACGGACAACTGTCAACTCCTGCCATAAGGCAAACAAATATGCAGGCGTCAATTTCACACTTCTCTGATTGGGTGCGAAGAGTGGAGTTAAAAACCCAAACTGACTTGTCTTTTTCTTTTCAATGTATTCTTATGCTGCGTGTGCACTGCAGGGCCTATGAGGTGATCAGGCTGAAGGGCTACACTTCCTGGGCCATCGGTATGTCTGTGGCCGACCTGGTGGAAAGCATCCTGAAGAACCTGCATAAAGTGCACCCAGTGTCCACGCTGGTCCAGGTGAGGACGTTTAATACAACCTGCAAAAAATTCCTCAGCGATACCTTTCATCAAAGACTCGTTGCGTGTCTTCCCTCCACCCTGACCTTTGCCCGTGCTTCCTTCCCTCCATCAGGGCATGCACGGCGTGAAGGACGAGGTCTTCCTCAGCGTCCCCAGTGTCCTGGGCAACAGCGGCCTGACGGATGTGATCCACATGACACTGAAGCCCGACGAGGAGAAGCAGCTGATGACCAGCGCCGACACCCTGTGGGGCGTCCAGAAGGAGCTCGTCCTGTGAAGAGCGTTCCTTTGAATATTCAGCAGTCGAGTGAAACCTCTGTGTGTTTGTAGCTAAAACTGTCCACATATAGGTGTCCCTTTGCTGCCACACTCCTTCTGTCCTCTTCTCCCCATGACTGAATCTAACTACCACCTTCAGCCTGTCTGATGGAAGGAGGTGTCCTTTGTGTTGTGTCGTCCACATAAAAAGGCCTTTTCAGTTTGAGCGTTTACATTCTGTGTTCTGTCTGGTAAATGTACACTGTGGCTGTTTCTTCTGTACACTCCCTGTTGGTAGTTTATATTTATTCTGTTTTTCTCCACTTTTCTCGTGTTCTGTTTATTGGAGGTATAATGGAGTTGTTCTGTCCCCTGTGAGGAGGCCTTCATGTCCGGCTAGTCACAGTGAGCGGGGCCTCACATCCTGAAAGAACCAAAGTCTCTTTATCAGTTGACGACAAAGGCAATTCTTCAGACGGTTTTACGTTCAAGCTGGTAACACAAGTGTAATGACACAATTAAACACGACCTCTTGCATCTGAAACGTAAAATAATTTGACTCTGCAAAGAGAACCAGTACTCTGCTACAGCCAAGGTTACGTTATGAATGTCATAATCGTTGGGACTTGTTTGTTAGTGTACTCTAAACAACCTCGTGAGATTTGTATTTATTTTACTGCAACTAACTCTGGGAATGAGTTAATCAAGAGAAAATAATGTTATTTATAGTTGTTAATACTGTTGAGATCTATTTATGTATTACTGTTACAAGTCTAATAATCGGCAAACTCCCTGAGGAACTGAATCTGTCGTGGCAGCTGGGTAGTTTTTTTTTTTTTTTTATTGCTGTTACATCCAATAAATCTGCCAGGATCACGATAAGTGTTTGGGTTTTTTTTTTTTCCTTCGGTTTGAGATGCAGATGTGTGAAGCCGACTGCCACTCCATGTGTCTGCAGATTGGGGGTTTTATGCAGGAGATCAAACTAATCATAGGTTCACCGTGTCACAAATTGAACCGGCTGCTATGTGTGCTTACAAATAAGCAGTATTTTAAGAAAAATTTATGCTCCTGTGAGATATTAGATTATAGTTTAAGCTTAAATTCACACGTAGGTTGACCCCGTGGTTTGGTTTGTTCAACACTGTTAGAATATACGGTTTTGTTGGGCTTTTCAAGATAACTTGAAATATATAAACAATATTGATCAAAGAAAATCACAGATGAATCAAATCAGTTGTCTTTTATTTGTACTGATTTACATAAATCTACAGATATAAAAACAGGTGATCTACGGTTGAATTGGAAACGAGGAAAAAAACATCATACAATTCAAAGTGCATTTAGTAAAAGGTGAATTTAAATGACATGTTTGAAAACTTTACATCAACTTTTGATTAGTACAATACCTTATTTTGTGTACCTTCAAATGTGCTGGCTATATTCACAACTATTTCCTTATTTTACTGGAAACCAAACCCCCTGTACAAGACTGAGAATAAGTGGACAGAACAGGGAAAACATGAGTAAAGTCATCTTTTAAAGCCTGTCAAGACTTTCCTTCATCTCCAACAGAGATCCTGTACAGAGTAAAAGAACCACTGTGCATGATTGACGGGTTAATGCAGTCAGACCTGATCAGCAAGAGACACGGAAACTGAAAACATAGTGTGATCGAAGGGGGCTTAAAATGTACCCCATTAAAAAGACTGGAAGAAAAACCGTTCCAATGTTCATCACCTCTACTGTATGAAAAGTGATCCCTTTGACTCCCATCGCTCCTGAACATGAACCAGACTTCATGCAGAAATAAATCCTAAAGCTGAACCCCGTGTCCTTCCTGAAAAGGTTGCCCTGGTTTTCATTTCAGAGCCTAACCTTTCCATTGAGAGACGACTGGACATATGGGGCTCTCTACCAGCCCCCGACTATGTGTGCTTGCCAGCCGATTGACTGTGTAAAAACCTGCTGGCTCCCCATGCAGCGCAACATACACAGGTCAACACACAGACTCACTCTACGCCAATAGGCTCCCACCTAACCCCCCCCCCCTTTCTTGAGGAAAAGGAGCAAAAAGGGGCCGCGACTAATGATCAAAATACAAATGAAGTCTTATCAGAGCGGTGCCAACACAGGACAGCACAGTTGTACATGATGTGTGTTTTTAAACATTCTCTGTTGTTGTTGGTCAGATTGCGATCTTACACAAACACATTTTTACCGAGATTAAAACCAGAAGAGTTGCAAGAGGACATTTAAAAAAGGGGGAATAAAACAGAAGAGGAGGGAGAAGGTAGGAGAGAGTAAGAGAGTGAAAATATGTAGTTTTCCTTTATAGTCAGTGCGGGTCAGTAGAGGTCACTCAGACCGGCCGTCTTGCGGGCTTTCTGCATGAGGGCCCGGAGCTGGAACTGCTTCCTGGACAGGAGGCGGACGTGCTGGAACAAAAGAGAAGAAGAGTCGTTGATGCTCCTTACGCCTCAAGGACATTTTCGTCGAGCACTGACCACCGCCAAAATACGTGTGACCTACACCCAATAGTGTGGACCCAGATGGGAGAGACATTAAGATGTAGTTGCGTTGGCGTGGTTACCTTAAGGAACACCTCCAGGTCTATTACCCCCCTGCGAAGGGCTTCTCCAAGGTAAAAGATCGTGTCCTCTATGGCGTTCTCTTCAGCGTACAGGTTCAGGATCTGCTTGTAGAGCGGAGCAGTGGGCACGATGACGTCGTCAATGTCGTTGTTCTCCGACTGGTTCTCCATCTTCTCCAAGGCCTCGCTCAGCTCCTCGTCCTTTCTCTTCAGCAGCTCGATGTTCCTGTCGACCTCGGTCTGACGGAAACACCACCGTCACAAACATATCCATTAACACAAATGTAACGTAACAAATAACATCGTCTGGAATGGTTGAGCGAGGTTGTATCATATGTGGGGATCCTTTTAAATAAACAAATAAGTGCAAGAAGAGGACTCCTCACCACTTCTTGGTCCAGTCTGGAGACCATCTCCTCCAGCTTCTGGTGTCCCTTCTTCAGATCCTCCTCGGTCCGCTTCAGGGCGTCCAGCTCTGCCTGAGCTCTGTCCATCTCCTCCTTCATCCTCCAGCGAAGCTTGTCACTCACAGCTGATATCAGGGATGCGCGGATGGTGTCCTCGCCAATGGTGCCATCTCTGTTCGGACCTTCAGGAGAAGAAGTTGAGGAGTGACGTTGGACAGCAAACAAGCAAAACACAGTGTAGTAGTTTTCCCCCCCAAGGTAAGTCACATTAACTATTCCATTATTTAAATCTTAAATGACTATTTGGAAATTCAAAAATCAAGACCCATACCTAACTTATATAGCTAGTGCAGTGTATATATAGTGTTCTCGAAGTTAGTATTGATTATCTGCTTTTGTGATTACTTAAGGAATAACTTTAGAGATGCTCGCGCTGTACAAACTGGGATGTTTTCAGTACAACTTGGGCATACATGGGTTTCTACTGCTAAACTCATGCCGCTATGGTCACAAACGGAGTAAGACATTTGTGAGCACTGACATGCATGTGGTTAAAGAGTGGAAATACAAGTTTAGCAAGGCGCTGTGAGAAAGTGCAACACCAGCTCTCGCTAAGTGACCCGGCTTTGTGTCTAGAGTTCTCAGACCAACAAAAAGCCCAAAGCCCCCCCACACCACCACGAATGACCTCAACCCTGCGAACAAGCTCAAGGGGTCTTTACTGACGCTTTCAATGACAATGGCGCAGTCCTGAGCCCATCCCCCCCTCAACGAGCTCTAGACCACCAGGGCTGCTTTCTCCAGCTCGGTAGGCGTCTCACACTCCCACCCCCCCCCCCCCCCCCGCAAAAATAAAAAAAAAGAAAAATGCCCACAAAACGTCTCCAGGAGAGCGGCCCACCCGACAGGTTTTATATTTTTTTAAATCCACAAGCAGAAGTCTGAGACCGGTCAGTCACCGTTTCTTTTGGAATTAATGTAGCTTCGGCTGTGTTTTCCGTGGTACGAAACCCCCTCATTGGACGTGTGGGGCCCACACATTAACTTCCCCAAGCGTCTGATGGCCTCTGAAGTGGATGACGTAATTA